CTGATTCCCCAGAGACTCCAGTTAAGGGAGCAGCTGAGGGGCGAGATCAGGCACTGCCTGACTCTCTGGAGAGCTGCTGCTGCTGCTGTTGGGCAGAGCAGATACGAAGGGAGACAAACAAAACAGGAGACTATTGGGGCTGAACTGTTTCAAGGAGGACACACAGGGTCGAGCCTTAGCTGTCGTGGAACCTGAACCCCCGGCCGGATTCACAGGGCGTGAGGTTCTGACCTATTGTAGATGCTCTCGTAGAATTCCTTGCTGGGGAGGAAAATGTGCATGATGGGGAAGGTCACCTCCAGGGTGTACTGAGAGGCCTCCAAGGTCTGGGCCTGGAACTGCGCCATCTCCTCGGGATCTCCGGGGATCACCATCTGAAAGGGAAGCAGGGGAGAATGCTAGACCCAGGAGGAGGAAGAGGAGGAGGAGGAGGAGGCACAGAGCACAGAACCTCCAGCACCGCTGCCCTCCCCACCTCCAATCCCCCCCCGCCCCCGCGAGAAGGACCTCACCTCCTCTGTCTCGTACATGGTCCGCTTGGAAGAGAAAGGCGAAGGCTCCAGCTGCTTGAGCTCGCAGGGGCTTTCCGCCGACGAGAGCTCCATCTCTTCCGGCTTCAGCAGGGTGGACTCCCACGAGGCGTCGCTGGCCCGAGGCTGGAGGGTCAAAGTGATTCTGCCAGGGTAAAAAAGGCAGCGTTGGGCAAGAGTGCCCGGATCTCCCACAAATGCTCTGTCTCCAAATGGCAACCCAAAACTGGGGAGGGGGAATGCCCAAAGCAGTTGGAGAAAGATCAAAGCCCCTTCTGTTTTAAAGAAATGGTGCAAATCATGCAACCCCCCCTCTCCCACGCCACCTATGGCCCACTAGGGCTATGTTGAGGTTCCCAGAATCTCCCAGAAAAAAAAGGGGGGGGGAATCCAACCTCCCAGTTGTTTTTGTTTTATATTCCTCCCCTTAAAAAGCAGTGGTTCCCAACCGGAGGTCCCCGGACGTCCTTGGACTACAACTCCCAGAAGTCCTTGCCATCACAGTTAGTGGTGAAGAGTTCTGGGAGTTGCAGTCGAAGGACATCTGGGGACATAAAGTGGAGAACCTGACCAAAAAAACCCCCCACAACCTGACAAAGCAACCCTGCAAAGGCAGAGTTGCACGGATCTTGGACACCCCCCCCCAGAACGCCTCAGGCCGCCATGAGCCCTGGCAAAGAGGGGATGCGTTTGACCCGACACCCTCCGGGGGCTCCAAGGGGATGATGGGTGGTGGGCTAAAGGGCTCCCACAGCAAAAGGCTGTGAGGGATCCTGGAGGGGGGGGAAGGACTACTCCAAGGCTTCTCTATTCCATGCTGGACCCTCCAAAAAAAAGGAGGACTCCTCCCAGGCTTCTCTATTCCATGCTGGACCCTCCACTTCCAACCTCCCACCCCCAAGGCGTGTGAAATGCACCCTACAGGACTCCTCAAACCCACCCGCACGCTCCCCCTTTACCACCACCGTCTTCTATGCACATATTTGTGCACAGAAAGTAGTTCCTGAGAAAGCGGGGGGGCCTTGGACGGTTTGGGAACCCGAAACGTAGCCTTCGGACACGGACGCTGGCTCGCTCCTGTTCTCAAGGGGACCGCATCAGCCAGACTTACTTTGGGAGGAGGTACGTCTTCCCCGCTCCTCTGGCTGACAGGTCCGGGGTTTTGCCAACGCGAAAACGGCACGGACACCTTCT